GCGATCTTTTTGCGATCTTAAATGGCATGTTTATTGCTCGGTTGCTCAATCCGGTTTAGCTCCACACTTATGTTATTTCCCTACTATGTCATGCGTGAATCAGTGGGCGGGACTACAGAATTAAGAGGCGGTGTTTAACCTATCTATTACGTCATAGGTAGGCACATTCAGTATTTATTTCAGTAACAAGGATGTTTTCAGTTCTGAAACGTACTAGATATTATTTTACTACGATGATCTCTTATATGTGACCCTGGACCACAAAACCAGGCAATATCCAAAAATACATTGTATGGGTCAAAATTATTGATTTTTCTTTTATGCCAAAAATCATTAGGACATTAAGTAACGATCATCTTCCATGAAGATATTTAGTAAATTTCCTACTGTAAATATATCAAAACTTAATTTTTGATTAGTAATATGCATTGCTAAGAACTTAATTTGGACCAATTTAAAGGCGATTTTCTCAATATTTTGATTTTTTTGCACCCTCAGATCCCAGATTTTTAGTCAGATAGTTGTATCTCGGCCAAATATTGTCATATCCTAACAAACTTTACATCATTCGAAAGCTTATTTATTCAGCTTTCAGATGATGCATAAATCTCAATTTCACCAAATTGACCCTTATGACTGGTTTTGTGGTCCAGGGTCACATATATCAAAAGCTCAAGTAAAAGTAGATTTCTCAATTCATGACCCCTTTAAAACAAATCCACATTCATATTCACGTGTGGTGTGGTGATTATGCATTTAATGCGTAATCAGTGTGTGGCTCAGCCTGTGTTTTCATCTTCTGTGGACCCAGATATATTCCAGATTAAATAGACTGGGCGAATATGGGCACACAGTGGGCTCTGTAGAGCTAGACTTGCTTGATTGGCAAGAATGAATGGAAGCGAGGGACAGCCTACCACTGAGTTCAGTTAGGCGTGTTACAGGGTTTGTTTTTCAAGTTTGCCACACAAAAGGATTCTCAGTGGAGCTGAAATAATGGGCTGAAAATTTCAAGAATGTCTAAAGCGAATTGAAGGAAAAAGTGCTGCAAGTTATAGAAACTACTTTGCTCAGATTAGCAGTACTAAACCAGATTTCATTTCATTTCATTTCAGTCAGTCAGTCAGCCAGCTAATGAGCATGTTACATGATTTAAAAAAGAAAGAAAGAACGAAAGAAAAAGAAACATGAAAATGCATTTGAGAATATTGAAATTAAATGAAATTTAAAGAGTGATTTATCACTCTTGCCAGGCAAAGAGATTTAAAGCTGAACTAGAACATGTACTGTACAAGGAACAGTATACAAATTATTCTTTGTTGACTTTTTAAAGAGCTTCTGTCAGTAATTTTCATCTGTTGAGCTTTGAAAATGTTGTATATTTTTGGGTCAGTAAAGTCAAAGTGGGACCTCATTTTTGGATCAGTAAATTGTTTGAATGTTTTTGAAATATGTATTTTATGCTCATCAAGGCTGCATTTATTTGATCAAAAAAAAAGAAAGAAAGAAAATAAACAGTATTTTCTAAAAAAAATATATATATATAAACTTTGATATTTGAATATTTTTTTAAATGACATTTATTACTGTGATGGCAGATCAGAATTTTCAGCATCATTACGCCAGTCTTCAGTGTCACATGATCCTTCAGAAATAATTTTAATATGCTGATTTGCTGCTCATTTCTTATTATTATCAATGTTGAAAATAGTTGTTCTGCTTAATAATTTTTGGGGAAAATGGGATACATTTGTTTTTCAGGATTCTTTGATTATTAGAAATTTCAAAAGAACAGCATTTATTTTACATTATAATCACTATAACTGTCACTTTTGATCAATTAAAAAAAATACTGACCCCAAACTTTTGAACAGTAATGAACAATATTGTATTCCAATAAAAAGAGCAAAGAAAACTGCTTTTGTAGCCAAAATGCTGCTCCTCTGAAATGACAGACTTCACTTTGTTATTTACACACACACAGACTTCTCTATTGGTTTAGTTTCCTTTGGGGGTGTCAGACCCCTACCCCAAGCCCACCCATAGCTTGCACCTCGATTAGGAGACTGTAGTGTACCCTCTTAGACTTTTCACATCTGCTGTGTGTACTCATAAAGACAGACAGGAGCACAAACAG